TTCGATGTTTTGATGCTCATAAAGAGTAGTCCAATATGTAAAATTGATAGACCCAAAAAGGTCAATTTAATTACGAAGTATATAGACAAGATTCGATCTTATATTTTGAAAAACTCTAAAAGTATTACCGACAAAGCGAGCTGACATCCATGATAAATTTTTTACAAGTTTAGCTGAATAATGTGGTCAAAAGTGGTCTTTACTTTAGTCAAAACTCTATCATAGTACCATAAGGTGAGATAGAATATGAAAAAAAAAAATTATTTAACTAACTATTTCTATACTAGATTGGTAAGCAGAATACTTTTTCCAATTTTCTAGGTAATCACATATAAATGGAATGATTTAAATTGTTCATTTCAGTTTCCCACTTTGGGCATGGGAAGTTTATTAATAATTACCCTTTTTCGTGGCATGTATTCAACAAGTTTTTCCCACAAGTTAAAAAGTGAGATTTTTTTGACTCCCTTGTCCCATTTATCGAGAGATTGTTATATACACTCAGGTGTATCGTACACCCAATTAACCCCAAGGTTAGTTTTTGCTTTATTTGATAAAATGAAAAACTAACATCAAAATGAGAGCAAATAGTCATGATTATACGGTACACCCGGGTGTATAAAATAATTTCTACCCATTATCTTCTTAACAAGCTTTTTCCACCGCAAGATATAAAAAATGAGGTAGGTACTTCTTAAAATTACATGTAAGAAACTAAAAAATACATAGTATATTAGAAGCGTCTTTATACCAATTGATGCCATAATTGGCGCCTAAAAGTGTTGCTTGCATACCGGCAACGTGGGCGAAAGGATAAAGACTATTGGAATAATTGGATAGAGACTTCGTTATAATTATTTTTGTTCACACTTGATGTGTTTTCTTATACAATAGGCAGGCGAAATATCAAGCTTGATCACCCAATTAACCCCAAGGTTAGTTTTTGCTTTTATTTGATAAAATGAAAAACTAACATCAAAATGAGAGCAAATAGTCATGATTATACGGTACACCCGGGTGTATAAAATAATTTCTACCCATTATCTTCTTAACAAGCTTTTTCCACCGCAAGATATAAAAAATGAGGTAGGTACTTCTTAAAATTACATGTAAGAAACTAAAAAATACATAGTATATATTAGAAGCGTCTTTATACCAATTGATGCCATAATTGGCGCCTAAAAGTGTTGCTTGCATACCGGCAACGTGGGGCGAAAGGATAAAGACTATTGGAATAATTGGATAGAGACTTCGTTATAATTATTTTTGTTCACACTTGATGTGTTTTCTTATACAATAGGCAGGCGAAATATCATGCTTGATCATATATTAAACGCGGGTCTGGGCCACACCCGTAAACCAAGAGAGAAAGTCCACTTCACAAGTCCAAGGAATTTCCATCCCAAAACCATATGGCAATAGGAGGAGTATCCCATTAGCCTTATAAAGTGTTTAATTCTCTCTTCTCCAACCAATGTGGGACACTTACATGTGGTGACACATGAGAAGTTTATTCTTTAACAGATCATAATTTTTAATGATCATACATTTGTCTAGATTTGTGTTGAATTATTTTAAATTTGTTCAATATTAAATGGAATTTTAATTTTAATTATTGAGTAGCTAATCATGACCAAAAGGGCAAAAGGAGTAACCATCTTACCAATATTGTAATTCAAACGAAAGATAGGGCTATTGCATTAATATGAATAATAATGTCCTTGCATCTTTTAAACAAGTGTAATATAAAGTCCTGTCACATTTTCATTATATGGACTCTATAAAGTCGTGTGTAAATTGGCCATATTAAATTGAAAATATGAGAGAATGTAAAATTACGTCCAAAGTAATTAACATGATAGTATTTGTTGAGAGTATAAAACACTTCGATTTTTGTCAAGCTACTTGATAATTTAACTATTACTTGTACAATTTTGTTTCCGACACATATTGTCTTTGTTAAAATTATTGATTTAGCTAGGTAACATCATAAACATAATCAATAATCGCAATTTCAAACATGTAGAAAAACACGTCACGCCTCAGGTGGGAAAACATACACCAACTAGAACCTCAAATACTTACCAAAAAATGCAATCAATTGACAAGATTAATTGATAATCAACTTTTTGTCAGCTTTAGTTCATACATTACGGACCTACCATCTCAAAAAGACACCATAACAGGATTTTACCTTTATAATTAACGGACATTAGTGCTTATAAACAATTAGCAATCAGTTAATTAACATATTTGTCAAAAACAAAAAGATATTAAAAATAACATACCCAAGAATATGTTTTTTTAATTACTTGTACTTTGTATAAAATTAGAAAAAAGCGAATCTTATTTCAAGGAACAATGAAAATAAAATAGATGACAATTTTGTCCACAAGTGGTTGGTTTTTTCTGGGATGGTCAACTTTTATCAACTAAATAAATTTATTAGTCTAATGTAAGACATTTTTTTGCTTCTTCTTTGTTTTTATGTTTTGTCTCTAAACTTGAAAAGTTGAAATTAGTGCAAATAACACAAAAAATTCCACAAATTAAAATTATAAAGAAGCTTCTCTTTCTTTTTCAGTTCCACCCTATTCTATATTTCTATGTTGTTGCCTTTCACATCTTCATCCTTAATCACCATAAATAATTATAAATTTAGACATAATTTTGTTTAATTACTTGTTTTCAAACATCATTATGGAAATTAATTGTGACCTTCAAGTAGATGTCAATGGCCAACATATTTTTGGGTGAACAAGGTAATTTTTCTTGATCATATTACATTATATTTGCATGTTATTACTACGTATAAAATATAGTTATAACCTATGTTTTTAATGCATTTACTACATAGTTGGTACATTGTATTACAATTTTGTGGTGTATTAACTTTCTTTTTTTTTTTTTTTTTTGGCAGGAAATTTTATGCTCAATTTTCTAGTAAGTTGAGCAATATATTTGAGAAAAGGTGCAAAAATGGTGGCAAGGAGACGAAAGTAATATTCCAAGACTTTCCGGGTGGACCGACCGGCTTTGAGCTTATCACAAGGTTCTTCTACAACAATGGTGTCATCGACATAACTCATTCGAACGTATTGTTTCTACAACATGTAGCTAGATACTTAGAAATAAACAAGGTTGTGTTTGGAAGGCCTAGTTTGATGGATCGAACCGAGAAATTTCTCGAGGGAGTCGATTTATGGGATTGGTCCGAGCTTTTACTAGCGTTGACTGACGGTCAACGTTTATTGATCGATATCAATCCAGTTTCTTCGGTTCGAAGGTTAGTAGGTGAGTTTGTTGAGAGGCTTGCATCGCGTTGTTTAACAACACCTTCCTCTTATTCTTCTAAGTGCTCGAGTTTTCGATCCTCATGTGATTCTAAGAGCACTCTAATAAGTAATAAAAGTGGCTATTTTCGTATGTTTTGGTGGTTCGAGGATCTTACAACAACTCTCACTATTGATTTGATTGAGTTATTGGTAAAGAAAATGGTGTTAGAGAAATTCGATCATGTTACAATAAGCAAGTTTATTTTCTACTATCAAAGAGTGAGAGTTCTTGGTGTTACAAATATAGTTGTAAGGGCTACAATCGTCGAAAAATTAATCAACCTACTTTCTCTCCTTGATAAGAGGATTATTTCAATCAAGGGATTGTTTGAGACCTTGGATTGCTTCAAATTTGAAGCTAACACACAACCCTACAAGAGTAAACTCGAGATTTTAATTGGTTTGCAACTTGATCAAGCGACATTGGATGATTTACTTCTTCCATTTCCTCTAAGAAAAACAAAGAAATATACTATGTACAATGTGAACATTGTACTAAGATTTTTGAAGAATTTTCTTTTGGATGGGAACATAAGTCATCATAAGCTTTGCTCATATCGATTGAAAAGAGTAGCGCGATTGGTGGATTCATATGCTAGCGAAATTGCACCGGATCATCGATTGAAACCCTCCATGTTTGTTGCACTTACCATGGTAATCCCAGATTCTGCTCGTGACTCTTGTGACAAATATATACCAAGCTATAGAAATCTTTCTTGAGGTAACCATCCATTTTAAGTAATAGAAATATTTTTATTTGAAATTACAAAAATAAGTTGTTATTGTACAAAATAACTTATTATGGCTGAGTACTTTTTTTTATTAGTACTTAGGCCCTGTTTGATTCACCTTAATTTTGCTGAACTGAAACTATTTTACTAAACTGAACTTAATTTTACTGAACTGAAATTATTTTTACTGAACTTAAATTATTTTTACTGTTTTTCTATTATAATTCTTCTTTTAAGAAAACTGAATTTTACTGAACTGAACTTATTTTTACTGAAGTGAAATTATTTTACTGAACTGAAATTAATTTTACTGAACTGAACTTTATTTTTATTGAACTGAAATTATTTTTTACTTAATATTATTTTTTTAAGGTGAAAAGAACGGGCCTTACTCTTTTATGCTACTTATGTTTGTAGGTTCATCCCAAAACTCAATGAAGAACAAAAAACTCAAATATGTGCAGCATTGAACTAACAAGCTTTCGCCACAAGTACTAAACCGGCTGTCTAGAAACACTAGTTTTCCGTTGTTAGCAATAGTACAAGCCGTAATTCATCAAAATCCTACACTAAAACGCTCAATCAAGGACACTAATCACCTCAAAGTATTTAGGAATTTGAGTTGTAGGGGTCATGAAGCGAAATCGTTCACAACTAGGGATGAAGTTCTTGTCAAAGAGTTAGCCAAGAAGGAGGAGTTTAGAGTGCATCTACAAGAAATGGGATGGACAGTTGTAGAATTAGAAAATATTTTTGGTAAGTTACAAAGTCATTATGTCACAAATGTAATGACAACACCAAAAGTGTGTTGTGTACATAATGTTAAACATCTCCAAAGCTTTGTTCATAATGGTAAGTGTTAGGATTATTAGGACGACTTTAATTAGTTTATTGTACTTTCTTCATCATTGTGGTAAACTTTTGAGGCTTGGACCTCAGTAAATGAAAAGTATGGCAAGGAAAATTCCTCATTATATCCCCCCTTTTAAGTACGTATAACGTATTATGATTCAGTAAACATTGATGTATGTTTTATTTATTTCTTTCGGTGTATGTGTATATAATCCGTATAACTTTTTTATAGTTATTATTTTTGAACTATGTAGCATGAAAATGACTCGAGCTTTGTTAATAAAAAAAAACATGTCGCAAATAAGAATTCCTTAAGCGTCAGTCACTTTTAAGCCTCATTAACACATAATGTCATTTCTTAGCTTTATTAACACATAACGTCGTTTCTAAGCTTCAATAACGCAGAAGCTCCGGGTTTCGAAAAAGGAGAGACCTCAAGCCTTTTTAGCCTAGTTTATGAACTTTTGTACGTTATTTTAGATTATCTGTTTGTATTCATCACTTGACAATGATAGTAAGAAAAAAGTTGACTATTAGGGTTGACAATTAGGCCTGTTCATATATATTATTTTTCAGTTCAGTTCAGCTTCAATCAGTTCAGCTCCAATCAGTTCAGTTCAGTTCAGCTCTTAATTTCCCTCTCTCATAAAATATTCATTTCAGCTTAGTTCAGTTCAGTTCAGTTCCAATCAGTTCAGTTCAGTTCAATTCAGTTTCAATCGTTCAGTTCAGTTAAGCTCATTTCAGTAAATATGAGCAGGCCCTTAATGGAAAACTTTAGTGGGGTGACTAATTGGGATGACTAATTCGGAAGGCTTATTTTGGAAGAAAACTTGAACTTTTGGTCAAAAGTTGGCAAGCTAGCTTAATTCCAAATAGGGTGGTTCTGTTTGTTGAACAAATTATTTGGAATTCCAAGATTGATTAAAAAAATATATATTGTACATCTATATAATATTGTGCCATTATTTAGAAGGTTCTTGGACCAATTAATTAGTATATCTATGTTCATATTGGAAAATGGTAAATAACTTGGACTTATAAGTGGGTACCAAACTAATTTTATTTTCCACTTCTTTTAGTAAAGTAACATCTTCTAAAGAACTATATATGGTTTCATGACGAGTAAATTTATTTTGCGATGGATGCGGCTGTGAGTACGCTTGTTGTGGACCTAGCTAGATCATAAACACAACATTAACGATTTTTCTAATATTATAAAGGTCTCGTCTGGAAAAAGTAGCAGTAGCGGCAAATGGCTCGAGTATTGTTAAGATGACAACTAGAGCTGTCAATTTCAGGTGACAGGTCGATTGGGTAAGAGTGGGTCAGATCAACTCAGGTCGAGTCAATTCAGATTAATTCTATAACCTATGCAGATCGGGTTTGGGTTGGGTCATGCTTAAGTAGGGTCACGTCGATTCATGCTTCTTATCGGGTTTAGGTTGGGTCGGGTGAACAATAGGTCGGGTTTTAATTTCGGGTTTTCACGGGTTTAATCGGGTTAGGGTAATTTCTCGAGTTCGAGTCGGGTTCGGTTCAAGTCAATAATTTGCAGGTTAGAATCAGGTCAGGTCGGGTCATTCTCGGGATTGAGTCGGGTTCGGTTCAATTCAATAATTTGCGGATTATAATCAAGTCAGGTCATTTTCAAGTCGGGTCATTCTTTGGTTTAAGTCGGGTTCGGTTCAAGTCAATAATTTGCGGGTTATAATCAGGTTGGGTCAATTTCAAGTCGGGTCATTCCCGAATTCAAGTCGGGTTATGTTCAAGTCAATAATTTGCAGGTTACAATCAGGTCGGGTCATTTCCAATTCAGGTCATATTCGGGTTCAACTAACTATAAATAGATAATTATCATTTTTATCAAGCTAATTATTTCCTTTGACTATAATATATATGGAAATATACTAGGGAATTGAACTACAATCTATAATTTAGGAAGAAAATTATCTCCTATGACCATACAACAAATATATACTATATTTAACTCTTAAATTTGAGGATGATGCTCCTTTCTTTTGCTGGCCTGGACTGACTTGGTCTCCCTAGACAAAATGCTTTGATCAACAATAATAAGGTGGTCTAAATTGCAGTTAAGATGATTTGAAATCGGGTCAGGAATAATTTGGGTTGAATTTAGGTTGGGTCAATAACAAGTCGTGTTAATTTCGAGTCGTGTTAGTAACAGATTGAAATAAATTTTTGGGTTGGGTAAGTAATAGGTATAGTAAAATTCGGGTTGGGTCAATAACAAGTCAGGTTGAATTTGGGTCTGGTTAATAACAAGTCGGGTTGATTTCGGGTCGGGTTTGTAACAGGTTTGGTGAAATTCGGGTCGGGTTAGGAACGGGTCAGGTTGAATTCAGGTCAGGTTAGTAACAAGTAGGGTAAAAATTGGGTTTTGACGGGTTAAAAGGGTTTGGGTCAATTTCGGTTCAAGTAGGGTTCGGTGCAAGTTAATTAAATTGGCCAATGTAAACCGGTAAATCGGGTTGTAAACCGGTAAATTGGCCGTTTAAAAGAAAATTGAATGGTTCCACACACCCAATTGGACTCCCGGAGAGTATTAGGGACCATGGTAAACAATTCGGCAATTTTTTATTTCCGGGCAAAAAAAAGTCAAAAAATTTCAAAATTGAAGGCTAATATCAACACTTTTTGAGAAACTTTGGAGGTTTCGGGGCCTAGTGTCGAAAAGTCTTGAAATTCTATGGGATAAATCTCGGGGTCATATAATGCCGTTTGGAACCATATACGATCATTATTTGTTGTCATAAATGTTCGTTGTAGGCTTGAATTAATGAAATCAGTGCAAGTTATAAATCGGTAAATTGGTCGTTGAAAGGAAAATTGGATGCTTCCACCCACCCAATTTGACTCCAGGAGAGTATTAGGAACCATGGTAAACATTTCGGCAATTTTTATTCCACGCGAAAAAAAAATCAAAAAATTTCAAAATTGAAGGCTAATATCCACATTTTTTGAGAAATTTTGGAGGTTTTGGGGCTCGGTGTAGACAAGTATTAATATTTTAGGGGATACATCTCGGGGTCATATAATGCTGTTTGGAACCATATATGATCATTATATGTTTTCATAAATGTTCGTAGTAGGCTTGAGTTAATGAAATCCGTGCAAGTTGTAAACCTGTAATTAAATTGGTCGTTTTAAGGCAAATTGGATGGTTCCACCAACCCAAATGGAATCCCAGAGGGTAGGGGCGAGCATGAGACGGGTACCATTAGTACTAATGGTTCGGGTACCCGATACCAAAATCCCTAAAAGTGATATCCGTATTCCGAACCGATAAAAGTTCGGGTACTCGGACTTCGGGTACCCGAATATTCGGATCGGTTATTGGATACCCAATAAGATATCCAATAATGATAATTAAACTTAATTATGTAGTTATTATAATATAATTTACCACTAATTAACAACATTATCATATAATTTTGACCAAATTATTAATAATATTACAAATCATTGATATTATAAAATAATTATATAGTAAAGTAAGAGTTTAGATTTTTAAAAAATAGATTTAAGTAGGGAAACAAGGAAAAAAAATGTTTATCGGAACGGATCGGGTAACCGTTAATTTTAAAATGAGACCCAATATCCATACCCGATAACAAATTATCGGAACGGGTACCCGAACCGTTATGAATATCGGATCGGGTACCCTAATTTTCGAAAAGGTTACGGATCGGTTTTCGGGTAGTTTTTCTCAGCCCTACCTGAGGGTATTAGGGCCCATGGTAAACATTTCGGAATTTTTTATTTTCGGGCGAAAAAAAAGTCGTAAAATTCCAAAATTAAAAATTAATATCCACGCTTTTTGAGAAATTTTAGAAATTTCAAGTCCTGGTTTCAAAAAGTCTTGAAATTTTAGGGGATACATCTCAGGGTTATATAATGCTGTTTGGAACCATATATGATCATTATTTGTTGTCATAAATGTTGTGGTAGGCTTGAGTTAATGAAATTGGTGCAAGTTGTAAACTGGTAAATTGCTCGTTTGAAGGCAAATTGATCGTTTGAAGGCAAATTGGATGGTTCCACCCACCCAATAGGACTCCTGAAGGGTATTAGGGACCATAGTAAATATTTCGTTAATTTTTTATATCCGGG